CTTGCGCAATGCATTGTGCGCCGGAATTTATTATTTCGCGCTTCGAGGCCGCATGCGCGATAAATTTCGTTTCGCGACTATCAATGGCCAGTTTCCTGCTGTAATAAAATAAGGTTTTAACTAATGCACCTACACAGAATGGCGCGATGGAACAATGTTACTGTCGTATTTAGGTGTCCGAGCTACGCTTGACCCACTATTAAGTGTGTGAGATAACACCTTGGATTTTAGAGCGAGACAGCACGATATCCCTACCTCAACACCCTCCCCGCGCGACCGTACCCCCACCTAGCGGCGCGCGCGCTGACTTGTTGCGCCGGGCGACTGGCGTCGCTGCTCAGTACGTCTTGGATTTCCAAAGTGAACGCACGAAAGTACAGTGTAAAAATTATAGAAGAAATTAAATGTAAGTACTCTTTAAAGTTTATATATTTTACCAAAATGCAAGAAAGCCTTGCATTATAGTATCGTGAAATTTGTGATTGCTCGCTCCCAGGACGGCAAACTCACAATATTATATCGGAATGTAAGTTGCTAGGAAAGCCCTAAGCAAAAAAACTTACAGCCGACAGTCGGCTGTGCCAATAGACGACGCGTCACCTACGCAAACGTCCAGCCGCCCGTCGTCTGCCGCTCATACAGCGCAGACGACATGTCGACTGCGCCTAAACTGACAACAATATTTCCAGATGGCGCAATCTACTATGGGACGTCTGTCCCAGTGGGATCCCCCAGCTGAAGATGAAGTCTTTTTCAAGAACGTTATAAGCATTCTGGATGAAGTGTACCCAGAAAATTGGAGGGATTGGGTCGTCAATACACCCACCTACGCTGACCTTTTCGGAGAGTCCATATCCTCCGATTTGGAGTGCAGACTCCGGTTTGCCGTCCCCACTGTAAAACTCGCCCGGGCCCATAGTTCGGAAAACACTCTCAGTGAACGCCGCTATAGGAAGATAAAACGAATTTTAATAAATTGGCCTATAGGGCGAGCGCTCATATACACTCCCCTGACAATTATGGCCAAAATTCACCCGGTGCACCCGGATAACAAATTTCCTGATGCAGTGAACGTAATTAAAGGCGAATTGTTACCGCGACATGAAGCTTCAAAAATTTTAAGAGGAGACCACATTCCCGCTTCTGAATCTGAGTCTATCGCTAGTACCAGAGCTTCAAAGAGAGTTCACAGTCCAGTCCAATCACCTGTCTCTAAAGAACCCAGGATGAGCGAATTTATGGCGCAACAAAACTTTCTGCTCGAAAAGCTTTGTCAATTAGTTCAATCTACCAACGAAAATGTGAACACGATTTTGAACAAAGGAGTCCCGTCTGACTCAGCGTACTCTCCTTGCTCATCTACCTTAACGCCACTTCATAGTAATGGTGAAGAGCCCCAAGGGGTGCTTAATACCGGGAATGTTGAAGACAGCTGGCGCCCACCATCCTTTGGAGGTGATAACGATAATTTTGCTGTTGCGGATGAAGAGGATACTACGATGGAACCACTTGAAGACTTCACTCCGGGTACCAAAGAATCTGAAGCCAAGATTACTAAAGCCGACGAGACTCTAGTAAAACAAGGCTGTGATTGTCAGAGGTTTAATTCTGAAAGCTGGCAAAACATCCGGTATGCTGACGTACAAAAAACGTTTCAGGCAACCCCAGCCTTTACTTCTCTTAAAGTGAATGGCAATTTAGCTACAGTGACACCTACTTGGCAACTTGTTTCTATATTAGAGAAAATGGACCTATGTCTTGCAGCCATCACACATGGACTATTACAGCAACGTCACACATTTCAAGAGATATATAAGAGCTCTCCTCCTTCAGTGAAATCACACATCAGCAAACACTTTCTGACCTCAGAGTCGACCTTTCGTAAAACCTCAGACTCCCTCCTGCAATATGTTTGTGGCAAACGTGCTGAAGTGATTCAACAAAGAAGAGGCATATACAAACCAACAAATAAGACGCTGAACGATTTGCTTCATGGAATACCTCCATCGGAGACCCACTTATTTGCCGAACCTCAACTTTCAGAATTTGTTAAGGAGCAAGGTGGTGTATCCAAGCTTTTTCCTGGCAAACGAAGGAATATACCCACATCAGCGTTCACAAATCGGTCTGCACCAAGGGAAAGGAAAATACCCCCTGCATCATCGTCGGAGAATCGGGACAGGACCCATTCGACATATGCTCACAGAAATTCCACCAATCGCAGAACAGACAGACCTAGATTTCAAACGAAACGCGCTCCTACCAAGCAAAATAAAAATAAAAAATGGTAAATTTCGGGCAGGACAGGTGAGTAAATATCTACAAGCATGGAAAGCACTGGAAGCACCAAATAATATTATAGCTACCTTGTCTGGCTATCGCATACCATTCATTAGTGCTCCACCTATATACAGATTTACTAAAGCGTGTATCCAGCGTTATCAAACCACGTCATCCTCAGAAATGTCTCATGAAATTAACAAAATGCTGAGATCAGGCGCTGCACGCTCATGCAAAAATAAGTCAGGATTACTATCTCCTTTATTCTTACGTCGGAAATCTGATGGATCAAACCGCCCAATTTTTGATTTAAGATATCTAAATAATTACTTGAGACCTCCGAAATTCCGTTTANATGTGGCCTTTGGACGGCACTCGCCGGGCGATCACGTCGAGGAGGGCGCGTTTGCCGCTACCTGAAGGTGATTAAATGATTGTAGATGAAACTTTTTTACTAAATGGGTTACAGGTTAGATTCCTGATGACTGGCCCTCAGTTAAGAAAAAAAAACAGTAGCGACTGTGTTAGAGTATTTAAGAGCCCCTCGGTAGGTTGCGTTAGTTTGTATACTTACTTCATAGTTAGATAATGCGTATCTTTCCGTGTCACCCGTGTGGTCATCCCCACTACAATAGTTTAAAGGCTGAGTTACACCATCTTACTTTAACAAACGTCAAAAATATGTCATATTTCATACAAAATACACCGGTTATCGATAAAGTTACGGCTAAAGACAGGTGGTGCAACTCAAGTCAGTATTGTACGAAGTTTTTAAAGATCAAATCAGAATGAGAAAATACCTAGGATTATAGGAAATAATATTGTATTGTACCTTTCGATCCAAGGATAGCCGTGACCTCTCCGCTGTGTGTCGTGAACGACACATCTTTGAGTATGACGCCGGTCTTCACTCCCCCAGTGAGGCGCTGGAAGAAGCTACCAGGCTCCACCTGAAAGACAAAATAAAATAATGCTGATTAAATATTTTAATACGAAATTTTCATCGAATTCGTTCAGCTGTTTAGGCGTGAAAAAGTAACAAACAAAGTCACCGCGTATTAATTGAAAATACTTGGAAAATAATAATTAATTGCCCAAGGAAGATACAACTTTTTTCTTTAATATAAAAACATAACTAGTCAGGGAATAATAATTTATCAAATCAAACCAATTCAAATAATTATATTTGTAGAACAAAATGTCATGATAATACAGGTGTATTATACTGTTTAGTATCTGAGTCATTTTAATTATTATCATAGTCATTTAAAATCATTTTAAAGTCATAGTCATAATCAGTTATTGTTTCATAATTTAAACTTTTAAATAATAAGCAAACCTGCTACGCCGTAGCACATACAAAAGATATCAACGAGCTACGTCTTAGAGTAAACACGAATTTTCGTAGTGCCCCGATTTCGTAGTTTTGAGACTTGATAAGAAAAAACCAACTACGAATTTGGGACTATTGTCAAATTGTATCTTTAATCTCTTTCTTTTTATGCTGTCCACTACTAGTTTGACCCAATAGCATAGGTAGCCGCGGCACAAGTTTAAAGTTGTAATATGTCAAATCAAAAAATAACACACACTGAAAACCAAATTGATACAAATTACTTTCTTACTTTAAACATGAGATAGACGTGTACGCAATTCAATAATTAGATAAACAAAGTGATCCTATAAGGGTTCCGTTTTTTCCTTTTGAGGAACGGAACCCTAAAAACCAAAACATAAACCATCTCCCGTATAAAATACACACATCTACACTACACAAGAGTCAACACAATTTTAAAACACACTTACTTGTCCAGAATGGAACACGTTGCATAGTTCCAACGTGTACTCCGTAGCGAGCATCTTTGTTCTTTGAAAATATGCGTTTATTTAGTTAAAAACTGCTTAATTTTAGAACTAAATGCATCTCTGAGCGACACACCCTCCTCTTGGTAAACAATTCGCAAACTAATCTATTGCAGTCAACTTCAAAGTTAACCTGTGTTCGCGGCGTTGCCCAACTTAAGCTGCGCTAACTTCATCACTTAAACTGTGCATACAATGTTGGAAAAGATTTTTGTTAAGGGAAAGTAGACTTTATTGTGTGGTGTAAAGATTCATGTTCGTAGAACGTTGCAATGGAGCAATTAAGGGTAAGTGCTATTTTAATAATTGAATTTTAGCTGTCATTAAGTTAAATAGCTAACAAATTAAGTTCAAAATATTAATTAAGTGTAAAATTACATAAATTACTTAAGTATAGGTAATTACCTAATATCCGAAACATTTAAAGGCTCTTCTTATAATTTTTTGGTTAATAAATTGGATAGTTTTAAAACAGAATATTTCTAGGGTTTACTCCCAGGGGTAAATTACAAGGAAAGCTACTATTTAAATATAATTTAAGTTAAATTTGATGATTTAACTACGAGTATATTGACGTTTTTTATAGATAACTACTTTGAAAAAAGTAATCATTTTGTAAGAACTGCACCTTAACAACGAAAGCCTCATTTTTCCACATTTCCAACGCGCCGTTGCCAGATGTTCACCGTGAACCTTCCAAAGGCTATACGTATTCCGTCCTTATCTAACGCACGGCACACCATCATTCACTTTTGAGACGGCTGCACAACCAGTAGCTGATGGTGTCCGCACATTCCTCGGATTAGTCATCTCCGTCGCTCGTACCGTGTCACGAGTAGTGCGAAAGGGACAGGAGAACATGCGCAGTGTCACTGACTGCTCAGTCGGTGTCCGCACGGTCGCTGGACGTAAACTCGTATAGCGCGGCAGAGGAATAGCAGCACCATACTTGCTGAAAAACTCTGTATTAAAACGATTAAAAGCTACAAATTATGAACTGAAGCTACGTTAAGAAATTGAAAGTAACGTCTGATTTCGTGTTCAGTGTGGTTTTTATTTAAAGTGTTGTGTGATAGGTGATTTTGAGTGTGTGGCGTCAAGTCCCGTTGACCGGTTTTATTTCAAGTAAGTTGACACTGGGTCTGTTTGTTTAGATGTAAGAAGAGGTCACGAAGCGAAGAGGTCTGGATGCCACAGGTGTGGTGGAAGTGTGGTGGGCATAGAGTTATCAGAACGTGACTGGAGCGCTGATAATGGCATCACGATTTAAATTTTTTGTTCGTCTGCAACATTCTGGCTTTTACACACCCATATAAAATGTGTGAGTTCTACCCGTATGTTTAGTAATTAACCATTTTCTCTGGGAATATTATGAAAACGCGTTTCAGAGAAGTTAGGACGGATGACTTGTAGACAATGTAACATTCGATATCGATTCGAGATCGTATTGCTTCGCTATTTTATTAACATAGATGTATGGGAATATATCTAACGAACGTATATCACAGGGTCTAGGCAGAGGTACGTACCTACTAGTAATATTATTATGGTACCTAATTGAAAATTATTTTACATAAAAGGTCATCGCAAGTCACTTTTTCTCTTTGCGCTTTTTTTTTAGTAGTTAATAAGCTGTAAAAGACTGTAGCCAATAAGTTAGCCCATCAAGTTATAAACAAAAAGTAGAATTAAGTTTTGGATATTACAACGAGCCATCATTAGGTTTAACTACACACAATTTTGTATTAATAGTCAGATTTTCATAAAGTGAAAAATCTTAGAATTGCGAGAAATAAATACAAAAGGTTCTGTAAACACCGTAATATTGATCTCGAATCTCGAACCTAAACAAAATATTCCTTCAGTGATGACTTGTTTATTTTATAACATTGACATCACATACGTTGCATGTATTATTAAATTAATTATTTATTAATAATTAACAACCTTGACATGCACTGAATATTATGAATAAATTCTTATTCAAAAACGCGTTTATGAACGCACATTATGAAGGCTGTTCAGATTCCGTATTTTGTCTTAAACGCAAAGTTTTTGATGCTTAATCCAAGTCAAAATTCCTTGTTGCAAGGCTATAAATCTTCGCAAACTCGAATAATTATGGGCCCTAACCACGCACTAAGTTTTTTGCTGCCCATTCCTGCAGCTACAACAAAACCTATATCTTCGTTATGCCCCTTGGACGTGAATAAAAAGCTAAAACAATGCATTGGCCAGAGTTAACGAACTCCCCAACCGCATTTTGATGAGTCAATGTCTTAAGTTTATAGCTAACCCACGAGTTTGATTATGTAGCGTTTTTTAGCAAATCNGTAGCAAATCGCGGGGCATGGGGTGACTCACACCAGATTTGCAGTTGCACCATGATGTTTAAAGATCTTATTTAATGAGTATTGGGAGATCGGGTCTGTTGTACGAGTACAATAGGAATTGCATTATACTACTACTCAGATGTACTAACTACATTTTGAGGAAAGGTTTAAGTTTTCGACAGCAAAATACTCATTAAACCTCCTCTTTTTTGAAGTTGGTCAAGTAAAACATTTAAAAAAGTTAAGCATCGTTTAAGTCCTTTCGCTGCTCGTAGTTTTCTCCTAATAGTATTTAATGACGACATAAGTGAAATTTACTAAACATTAGCAATACTTAAGAACGCTTTGGAATACGTAAGTAGATCTACGTGATAAACATAACCACAGCATGACTTTTTTGTTAAGCAAACCCAGACAAACCAAACCACATACCTAATTGGTAAAACTGGATGGCAAAGGTAAATCCATTGAGTCATCCGCGTGGTATCACCAGTTTCTATCGGCGATGTTTTGATTAATTTGTAGCTAACGGATCTACTTAAGTCATTCGGGCAGGCAAGATTGAGAGCAGTGAGTAGGTATGTTTCTTGTATAATTTTGTTAAACAATTTTTATTTGCTAAATACCTAGAATAGTTGCTCTAGAAATCAAGCGAGGTTTAATTTCAGCACGGTGATGATAATTCTGATAAAGTGGAAGCTTGAAATACCGGCTTGGTGACAAACAGGCGACTTAAAGAAAGTTATGACGAGTATATTGCAGTGAGAGGACAAATTCTGCTAAGTAGCAGAATGAATTACGATATCCGCAATGAAAGTGCAACAAATGACATCTCGCAATATTTGGCGCCTTTAAATTGTTTCCGTATTTTCCAGAAATATAATTTTCCCGCACAATCGTTCGTTCGTGCGTGCGTTTCAGCCAAATGATGTCCACTGCTGGACAAAGGCCTCCTCCAATGTTTTCTACAATGCACGGTCTTGCGCTGCCCGCATCCAGGCTCTTCCCGCGACCTTCACCAGATCGCACAATATTATGAAGATAATCTTGACCTTGTAGTTAAACCTAGTTTATTGTGCCGATTAAAATTCAGTCATTTTGGATTTTTGGACCACAAGTCCGCACGGTCTGTTTGCGGCGTCGCGAACAAACTCATTAAAAACGTAATTAAATGTAGCGACCTGCGCACCGTGACTGAGTTTATAATAACTGCCTGGTACATTTTATTCAGTACCGTATACGAGTACAATTAAATTATACCTTTTAACCCACTTAGAAAGTGATGATAATTCCTAGTACCTGTATGTTAGTTAGGATACAAAAAATAGTACAGTGGTTCGTGAAAGTGAAAAGTTGACAACAAAAACAATTCCAATTGTAACAAAGACGTGTTACGAATCTATTGGCTACTTTGGGTGTCCCTAACTATTTGACGCTCACTGTATCTGATGTAAATAGGTCGCTGCTATGTAAATCACGGCTTCTAATCTTCTAATTTATGATCCTAGCCTCAACAGTGGATATAAATAAACAAATTAATCTAAAAATTTATAGCCCGTTTTCCTTAGAAGGTTACTTTCAAATATTTTGTCAGATTATATGATTAGTCATTCATGTTGGACTACTTTTCAGATAAAGAGCGTTCAATATGTTGAAATAATTTACAACATAGATCTAGATCGACTATCTACGTAGAAACGGAAGGATATGCCGACATTTAATAGGCACTTGCATACAAAAATTTATAACTTTACTCACGAGTACGCAACACTTCATATTTACAAATTAGTTGGTGGTTATTAAGGATTGCTAAACACAAGTTTTAATACTTTTAGCAAGAAATCGGTCTCAATATATCAGTCCTTATTAAGCAATTTATTTGTACTTTTTGTGTGTTACAGAAACGATAATGAAACGTTATTTAATTTATCCAGTTACATTAAATTATAAAGATATTTATATTATTTGTATGTAATAAGTATTATATGATCAGTAGGTACGTCCACTGATCGCTATCTGAAATTGTATATAAAAAATATTTAAGCTCTACCTCTTACGCAATATGCTTCCATAAGCTAAAAGCAACCATTAAATTACATCAACACTTTTTCGTTCAAACAAAATGATACCGCGTTGTAATGCAGCCGAATAACTTGTGAAAGTCAAAAGGAAAAGCATTCAGAGAGCCAGAGCGACTCTACATATAACTGTAAAACGACAATATACAACAATATCATATGGCCATATGCATATGAACCGTAGTGTTCCCACGTAACTGAATTATCATGAGTGGGCAATTTTTGATGCGTGTCTCGACCCGGGTTTCCTATTCTTCGGTTACACTTACGGTACACGGTAGTATTTCTTGATACAGAACGTTGAACTCTGCATGGTGTTGTGGAATGGCAATTTTCTACGTGAGATGATGGGGCCAAAGCGGAATGGTTTTGGGATGATGGCGCAAGTGCTTGTTGTCTCTATCTCTAAATTTATAAAGCATTGCTGCGACTTAATTGACAGTCTATGTATAAGTAACTTATTACAATAGGTGGATCTCAAGATATAATTTAGATATTGGAATACTTTATTTACTTTTACTCCTCCTGACTTTCTGAAGAGATTTTTGGAAGCATCCTTTCAAATTAAAAGGTGTTTGAGGAATCTTACACTATCACGAACGTAGCTTCGTAAACGCTACTCGTATGTTATGTGTGATTTTGACTTGAAAACTTGTAATTCAAGTCAAATTATGTTAGTGTACCTACCTACGTAAGATAATTTACTACGACACGTCCGCGCGATACATTAGTGTGCAGGACTGTTTATTTATCCGGTCACAAAAATATACGGAACGGTTACGAAGACCGGGTAATCGGAGCGGAGTAGGTACACGGAGTGGGCTGTCGACGGACGCGGTGAAAACGATGATGCGGTGGACTGTAGACTGTGGACTGTATACGGTGGCACTCCGGTAGACGGTGTCTCCAGTCGTTGCACACTGAAGTTCGGTGGGTGGATCGTTGACTCGTCTTTGTCGAAGGACGGCGTCGATACGGTGCAACGTATCCGAAGTCACGAAGCAATAACGGTGTCCGGTTTTGATGCTGAAGTCGTCACTATAATCACTATTCTTCTATCGCGGTGAGAAGTCTTCTTGTAGCTCTTCGGTCGGAGGAGGTTCACTCTTGATCTGCTCGGAGAACTGTCTTGAGTAGAACTGATGACGGATCGGTCCGGCGGCCGGTTTATATACCGCTCCAGCTCGCCTACTAACTAGAAAATCGACGGTTCGCCCGCTTTCTGGAAGACGCGAGTACTTGCTCTAACGCGCGGGACTCGTAAACAAAGTTTTAAGGCATCCGGATATGAGCCTTATTTCTTACGCGCTACGGTCGGTTATCGCGGGCGCGCGTGCTATTGCTGTCCTTTGCGCGCTCGCACTGTCTCTTTCTTTTCAAGTACTTGCCGCGCGCCGATGATTTATGACTTATCTATACCTATAGGCGCGTATATGTATTTGCCGCGGTTTCTTTTATATTTTTTAGGGTTCTGCGGGAAGAATTCGTAGTCGTCGTGAACATACTCCCGCCGTGCAGCGGCGCACTCGTGTCGTCGCTGCATCCAAATCGCTAACACGACGACTGACTACTGTTCTGTCACCCCCTTTTCTGTAGGTAGGATGACGAGCCTTTTCGTAGGTCTGCGCATGACACCTCCTTGTGTCATGATGTCTGCGGTGCGGACGATTCCGTCTCGTCCCGGATACGTAGCGATGACTTTCCCTCGGGGCCA